TGTAGGGAAGTAGGAATGCTAACCATCAAGACAGTGTGTGATAAATGCTTGTAGTCTTCCACACACAAGTGTGTGGGAATGAAATACAGCAGTCTTTTCTGAAGGTAAGAAACTGGCATGTGTCTGCCTATATCTGTCACATTTAAGTCAGTAGTTAGAAGAGTCTGTTTTCATCCTTAGGGCTAAGGTAATTACTCTTCATTTGTGAAGTTGTTGGGGTTAAATGAAAATGTGACGGCACCTTACTCACAGACTGACTTAATGGGTGTTCTGTCATATTAGTTAGAACAACAATGATACGAGCTTTGTAATTTGCCACTTTGGGTTGTATTAATTATGAAAATTAAATCTAAGTAATATATAAGTCTCTGTGACTCATTGTCATAACCTTTTTTTGTCCTAGAAATTGTCAAAAAATTGCAGAATATCTATCTGCTAATGTTGTATCTTTAGAAGATCTCAGAAATGCTGTTGACTCACAGGAATTATGGAGGGGAAAGATTCAGATATGGGAAAGAAAGGTAATTGGATGTCTCAGTTATCATAGTTTATACAAAGCAACGCAGGCTTTTCAATTTTATTTACAACACAGATATTTAAATAAATCTTAATTAAAACACACACAGATATTTAAATAAATCTTAATGAAAATGTATCTCATCAAGATGTTCTGGAATACCACTAAGTAAACCTTTCTTTGATAATGGAAATGTTCTCTGTTTGTGCTTATACAGCAGCCCTCTGGCCACATATTGCTACTGAATACTTTATGATAGATTTAGTTTTTAGTTTGTTTTTCTCTTATTTTTAATTACTTTTCAATTTTTAATCTTATCTGGTTTTAGTCAGTTTTAATTTAAATTGTTAATATATTTATTCTTTGGTACTGCCATTCTAGAATGTAGAATTCTTTTAAAACAGAATTTGATGTTAGTCACATTCATGTTTTTTTTTTTTTTTTAAATTTGCTAGAGGGCATGTATGCTTGCCAAAGGGGAGTAGAATAAGAAAGCACCGCCTGAAGGATGGTCATGTCATAGTCCCTTCTTTCAGGATTTTGGGCACGTAGGCACATGTGCCTGGTGTAATTTTAAGCACCAGATTCTGGACTCAAACGGTGTGGTTAGCCATGTGGGATCTCGCTGCCTTTAACCACCACACCGTGAGCTGGCCCCATGTTATTTATTTCAAGTTGCTTTATTTTATTGCATATGAGAACTACTGGAAAAAATGCTTAGAACATACTGTGTTACCTACAATACTACTTAGGTTCTCTCTGCTGTTTGCTAACCAGCTCTCTGAGTTTAGACAGACATTTTACTTGACCTCAAATTTCTCAACTATAAAATGAGAATATTAGATTATTTGGATCCTCAAATCCTAAGTGTCTATGAGACTATTCCATTTTGGCATTAGTTTACTATGAAAAAGTATACTTGACACTTTCTGTGTCCACTGTGAAATGTTTCTTAGTAATTGATGTATTTTTGTATATAGGCAGAACTGAACAAAGGAACTTTCTCAGTGTTTGTCCAGGGCGGGTATGGGAACTGGAAGAGGCCCTTGAGTTCCTCTGAAGGTTTTTTGCACTAATTACAAGACATTTTTTCCCTCTTCAGTTTATGCTTAACAGGGATGTATAAAACCTATAGTAGGAAAATAGGAATTAATATAGCTGGTTCTGTCTTGTTGATTTGCTTGTTGCTCATCTTAAAATCAGGAATGTTAAACCTGCAGGTGAATCTTTTCCGTAAGTAGCTTTAACGTAAAAACACGAAGATAGAAGAATGGAAGGTAGGATGAGCTATGAGAATTGTTTTTGTGTACATTTTCTAAAACTGCATGTTTACATACAGACAGATAATGACAGAGTTCTTGTCAAGTGATGCTTTTGAATAGGAAATTAAATTTCCACATCTCCATAAGATGTACTTAAAACTCAAAATAATTTTTTTGGTGGAGAGTCCCTTTAGCCAAGAGTGATTAAGGACATACGTTGTAGAGTTATATTACCTGTGTTCAATTCCAATTCTTTTCCTTGTTTCTTTTTTTAGATCTTTGTCATAGAGCATGGGTGCTTGCCAGAGAGAGACAGAGGGAAAGTGAGAAATCACCCCCAAGGAGGGAAGCCATGCCACAGTCCCTTCTCCTCCATTCTCTCCTCAGAATTTTGGGCATGGGGACCAGCAGTTAACGTAATGGCTATGTCACTGAACTCCCATATAGTCGACCGTGGTTCTAGTCCCGGACCTGATGGCTTAAACTCACGCCGGGCGCGTGTGCGTGCGTGCCCAAGATCCCAAGAGGAGAATGGAGGAGAAGGGATTGCGGCGGCATGGCCATCCCTCCTGGGGGGTGATTTCTTGCTTTCTATCTCTCTGTCTGTCTCTGTCTTTCTGGTGAGCACATGCGCCCTATAGCAAAAACCTCTCAAAAAAAAAAAAAGAATTTTGGGTATGCATGCACTCGGTGATTTTTCAAGCTGCCAGGTCTGGGACTCAATATAGAATGAGCAATGTGGGCTCCAGCATCTTAACCACTGTGACACCTGCTGGACCCCCAACTCTTTCTTTCTAGCTTGTGTGACATGTTGGATAATAGCCTCTTGGTGCCGCAGTTATCTTCATGTATAAGGTATGATAATAATAGTTCTTACAGATTTTTATGACGATTAGATTATTAAAGAAGTAGTGTTAGCTATCATTATTGTCCTTGCTACCATTGTTACTATTAGCACCCTTTCTATTACTGCTCCTGTAGCAATGATTCTTTTAATCCACAACATATTATGAAGGCAGCCTATCTGTAAGACACACTACTTAAAACCCGGTAATGAATAAGACTGAGAACTTCTGTCTTTGTATAACGTAGAGACTGGTAGGAAGCCAGATATTGAACAAGGAAATGCAGACGAGGTCATTTGGTCTTTCTGGCACATAGAATGGGCTTAACATAGTCTTGGCAGCAGGGGAAGAGCCACTGAGAACTTTCATGAAAAATCAATGTCTAAATTGAAATACGACGGATGTACCTCAATGAAAGAGCCACACTTGAGCAAAGGAATCAAAAATAAATTAACATCTATGTTTGCTCTGAACTTTTACGTTGTTCTAAGATATATTGATTTTTATAGCTTTATTCATGATGCCTGTAACTCTGCTCTCTTGGTTTGTTTTCAGTTTGGATTTGAAATCAGTTTTCCTGAATTTTGTTTAAAGGGAATCACACCTAAGAATTTTAGTACACCTAATTTACATACCTGCTTTCTTGACAAAAAGATAATACTATCAAAGGATAAAAGTGTTTTGCCAAAGGTAATTGTATTTTGTTGTGTGTGTGTTCCACAGTTTGTGTGTATTTTTATTCCTATAAAATCTTAAATTAGTATTACCATTGTATGTTCTTAAGTGGTCTCACTAGCATAATTTTTTTCATAATTCTTTCTATAATTAAGTGCTAAAGTTATACTGTTACCAGCATTAAACATTGGCTAAACTATGTTGTTTTAGATTTTTTTGTTTTTTAATGTTATATTCGTAACATTAAATCATAATAGACCTTAGACTTAAATCATAATAGGCCTTGTATTACCTCTGGTTTGGACTTCACTATGTGACCTTTCTATGACTCAGTTTGGAGAGAATGGATATTTTTCTTACATACACAGAAAAAAGAGGATGGCCTTTAGTGTTTGGCTTGCTTAATATGTAAAAAGATGCTTTTTAAGATCCATTTTGAAGTTTTTAACCTCCTAGTTTCTTTCATTTTTATATATAGTATTTAAAAGATTGTATAATTTTTACTTCTTTTCTAGGTTTTCCATTATTATGGTCCTGCTTTAGAATTTGTGCAGATGATAAAATTATCAGATCTACCCTCCTGTTATATGTCGGACATTGAGTTTGAGCTGTATCCTTTCATTTACATGGTCCTTTTAGATTACATTATCTGGGTCAGGTAGAATTTTCTGGTATTGTTAGGTAAATATATGTGTTAGATATACATTTATTTTTATTTCATTGTTCTCATTATTTTAATATTAATGTCCATATAGGCTGTCATACTTCTCTTTGTTAGAATTGCTGGGAAAGGGGAACCAGCAGATGCTGTAACGGTTACTTCGTTGGACTCCCACATAGTCAACTATACTTCAAGTCCCAGACCTGGTAGCTTAAAACTCACACTAAGTGCATGTGCATGCATGCCCAAAATCCCAAGAGGGGAATAGAGAAGGGATTGCGGTGTGGCCATCCCCACAAGGGGTGATTTCTCACTTTCTGTCTCTGGAGAGTGCATGTGCCCTATACAAAAATCTAAAAAAAATAAAGAATTGCTGGGGGAGGAAGTTCTTGGTTTTCTCACATCCTGGATTCTATACCCGTTCTGTCAGAATTATTCCTCTCTATACAAACACCTTTATTTTCATTCAGTATGTACTGTTTACTGTGGGAAGGGCTGTGGAAGTAACACAGAGTGATTGAACTTTGGTTCTTTAATAGTTACATTCTCTGCTTTAGCATAGGACAGATCTGCTCTCTCACCTAGTCTACCATTAATTTTAATACTTCCCTTCTCCTGCTCACATATTCCACATACATTTTTATGTGGTTTTATTACCTTTGCTATTATTTTATAGTGCTTATTCATTTTAAAAATACCTTCCCTTTTTCTGAAATTCTAGAATGCATCTTGTGATTTCTGTGTTTGTCTTGATACAGTATTTCTGCAAAAGGAGAATGTAATTTAGGGACATCATAGCATATAGTAAAGACTCTACAAAATATTACAAAATGAGGACCAGCAGTTAGCCTAGTGGCTATGTAGCTGAACTCCCATGTAGCCGACCGTGGTTTGAGTCCCAGACCCAGTGGCTTAAACTCACGCTGGGCAAGTGTGCATGCGTGCCCAAGATCCCGAGAGGAGAGTGGAGGAGAAGGAATTGCCGTGTGGTCATCCCCCTGGTGGGGGGGCGATTTCTCGCTTTCTATCTTTCTCTCTGTCTTTCTGGTGAGCGCGTGCACCCTATAGCAAAAACTTCTCAAAAAAAAAAAAAAAATTACAAAATGAATGACTTGTGCTATGTCAGTCCAAACCAGAATGGGCATTGTTTTCTTCTGGCAAATTCCTTTCTGTAGGAAAGATAACATTTAGGAGGGCATAGGAGAACCTCAGCTTAGAATTGTTTGTAGTCTAGTATTACTAATGGGTAGTGTTTTTGTTTTGGTGTTTTATTTCTTAATCTTTATTTATTTATTTATTTTAAGGAGGAGGGAGGGTTCCCTCCCCCCCCAAAGAGAATGCTAAGAGATTAGATTGGAGAGCCTTTTAAGACATTATATACCATGATTGAGAGTTAAATTCTATCATAAAGGTGATGCACTGCAGAAGGATTATAAGCCAGGGAATGGTTTCATCAGAAGTAAATTTGGTAGAATTTTGGAAAATCTGGTAAAGCTTGAACTAAAGAAATAGCAGTTGGAATGGAGAGCCAGGGAAAAATGCAGGATGTGGCATGGATGTAAAATCTGTAAGACAACCCAATCTACGGGTAGCGAAAGTGAGGAGTCTGGAGTTGCATAGGCTAGTCTCTGTTGAGATTGGTGCCACTGAGTGAGTGCGAAGAAGGAAGAGTGCAGCCCAGATTGTTTGAATAGTATTATACAATGGATAGTTTTTACACTTTTTTATCTCTTGCCCATTACTGTTTAGGACCATGTCGCTAGTATGCTACCTGGCAATATAATTGTAGGGATTACTTCCAGACAAAAGCTCTTATCCATCTTTTCCTCTTAGTTTCATCTGTTAACAGCTTGTGGGTCAGATGTCAGATGACATTTGACGTATTTGTCTCAGATGATTTAGACCAATGATCGTCAGCTTGTCATTTAAAGAAAATCTAGGACTTTAGAGAAAGCTCTCTGGGTGGTGGAATGGGAAGATAACTTGACTGATCCCGGCTCCAGACCTTGTCCTGCTGTAACCACAGCAGCATCGTTTCTCTATTCTCATTACTGGGCTTCGAGGTAGGATCTCACTTGCTAGTGCTGTCTGTGTGAAAAAGGTTTGAAAAGCACACTTTAATGGGTGTCATTCCACACTTAGATGTTTGACTGTGTTGTTTTGCAATAATATTAGTATGTTTTTCATTATCATTGTTTAAAGAGGTCTGCAACTTGCAGAAAAAAAAAAAAGGAAAATCCTCCCTCTGGTATGTATTTGTTTCTAGAAGAGGCAAAGGAATCTTGATATTGCTATTCATTCCTTATGGAATAGGGAGGAAGGAAAAATGTTAGGAATCTGTGGAGGAAAGTAATAATTTATATACTCAGGAAATGTTCAGACGTTTCTCTCACCATTGCCTTGATTGATATATAAGCTGCAGTCAGCTGATGCGTCTTTTTATATACTTAAGTAAATATAAATGTTATATATGTACTGCAAATTCTTAACATATTTTAAACTGTCTTAAGAAAATATTTCAAAGAATTTTTAGAAATACACCTAAAAGCAGAACATTTTGTATAAATATAAATTGGTTTTGGCTGGAAGTGGAGCAGTAACATAGTGTTGAATTTTTATTCGAAAAGTAAAGTTTTTTTAAAGTTTCTTATTCTGGGGAACCAGCAGTTAGCGTAATGGCTATGTCGCTGGACTCCCACGTAGTCGACCGCGGTTCGTGTCCCGGACCTGGTGGCTTAAAACTCACGCCGGGCGCGTGTGCGTGCGTGCCCAAGATCCCGAGAGGAGAATGGAGGAGAAGGGATTGCAGCGTGACCATCCCCCCTGGGGGGTGATTTCTCGCTTTCTGTCTCTATGTCTCTCTCTGTCTGTCTGGCGAGCGCACGCGCCCTACAGTGAAAATCTCTCAAAAAAAAAAAAAAGTTTCTTATTCTGATAGCTTATAATAATATTTATTTATTTATTTTAGGTTTTTGCTATACAGTGCATGTGTTTGCTGCAGAGCCAGAGAGAAAGTGAGAAAACACCCCACAGGGTAAATGGCCACACCACAATCCCTTTTCCATTTTTCTCTTGGGATTTTGGGCATGCACGTACATGTCCCTGATGTGATTTTCAAACTGCTAGGTCCAGGACTTGAACCACGATCAGCCATGTGGAAGTCTAGCTCCTTAAGCACCATGCCCTCTGCTGGCCCCAATAATGCTATTTATAGTAGCACTATTAGTATAATTTCAGAATAAAACAAATAATTACAAAAATAATTGTTCTTAAGGAGAGGAGTAATGGTTAATTCTTACACATAAATTTTATTATATATACGTGTGTGTATATGTGCATTATAGAGTATGTGCACATGCC